GTTTTGCTTTTAGATCTATCATCATAGGATGAAACTTTTCGAGTTCAGTGAATCAATGCCATTACCACTTGATATTTTCAGTAATATTCCTTCAAAATTCTCTTCCGTTTGTAAAAATTTCCCAAAAAATTATCAGACTTAATGCAGTCCGTCCATTATTATTCTAGTAAAGAAAACTTCCTATGCTAATGCCCTAGTCATTTAATTAATGTACGCAAAATGTCGTCAGTTGTGGATCAGCAAAGTGTATATATCGTAGAAGAAAAGAATTAATGCACTCTCAATAATGTCATCCATCATCATTCTATTTTGAAAAGTAATTAAAATATATGAAATGTTCCATGATGCTACATAGGAGTACTGGGCTTAAGTGAAATCCACTTCTGGCTCAAGAAAAATAGCGAACATTTTTTCTAAAGTAATGATTAGTCATACAGCTGATGACTATTTATAGAGTATGGATGAAGGTGCCAGAGTAATGTGAACAAAAATCTAAGGAATTACCAAGCAGAGGCGGTAGTCGGCACAAGTCGACCAGGTATCCAAATACAATTGATCCGATCAGCATGACTATCAGCGAGAAGACTGACGCTATATAATTCTAAAGATAAACATTTTTTTTTGCCTGATCACTGTCACAATTCTGGAGAAATTCCATCATCTCAAGATCTGATTACATCTCAAGNCACACAAAAACTATTTTCATGGCGTATTTTTGAGCACTGAAAAGTTGAAACAATTTTTGATCAAACGTTGAACTGTTCGATAGAATATGAGCCTACTTCTCTATCTGGTGGTTCTCCAGCTTCAGTGTGATTCGATTCTGGTATGATGCGTGGACTGAACGGAAGCGATACCAGAGGACGATGAAAAACGGCAATGGCCGTTAGGTACAAAGTCACTGAGAAGATCGCAAATGCAACTAGCGATTTAGCCTGGAATTGTGCAGATATTGCAAGAGTTTTGGCCAGCCAACAATCCAATATACAAGCATAAAGCAGAGAAATTGTTCTGATTCTTGCTCAATCACACAATTCCTTCAAAATGAATCCGAAGAACGAAAAAGTTTGAACGTTCTTAAAAGAGCTCTTTTTGAGTGGTACTAGAAAAGTTTGAAATCAATCGTGCGGAACATCCTTCGGCAAAAGATTAAATTTTTCAAAATCGACAATCGACGACAGACAAGCGATTCTGGAAAGAAATTGATTCTACACTGCTTACCTCACTAATCAGTTTTGTGAATTTTCGACTGGATTGAACCGACGAAGACTCGGCATCGTTCGATGTGAGTGGACTATTGGCTGTTTCCATCTCTTGCTGAAGCAATGAACACGATCATTTACCGACAGATTTGACCGGAGACAAGTGATCGTGTAAAGCAAAATGAAACGCGGAATCGTTACGCGACGACATTACTCACTGACGAACAAATTCAAGCGAGTTAAAAGGACAATATAAAGCGCTATTCAACGAATCGCACGCACCACTAATTTAACAAGAAAAAACACCTGGTACAGTCACAAAATTTGAAGGTCTTCACCAGTATTACAGTGTGGTAACCTTCATGTCTCAACAATGATTTATGCATACAGCTTGAATAGATCTAGACAATAGCTATACATACATCGTCATATCTGCGATGCAATGCATCTGCATCGTCATATCTGCGATACAATGCGTGATATCTGCAATACAATGCAT